GGGGGATGGGGGAGGCGCAGGAGCGGAGGCATCCGCCGCGCGCCCCACCAGCCGCCTACCAGAGGAGGAGGCAAACTTGAGAAAAAGAGGGCTAAGGGGCAGGGGTCTTTCAAAATATGCTGTCAAAGAACCACCTAGCATCAGACCACCTGAAGTTTGATTCAGGTTGATGAAGTAAATCTGATCAGACTTTCATTCATTCTCACCTCTTTGCAGTTTGTTTTCCTGCCTGCTGTGACATCTACAGGGAATCCCCTCAACTTTATTTATTGGAGGAGCGTTTGCTTGTCCCAGAATACAAGTGAAAGTCAGACAGCAACTTTCTGGAGTTGTTTCTCTCCTTCTATCATGTGGGTTCTGGGGGAACAACTCAAGTTGGCAGCTTAGCTCCAAGTTCATTAACCCCACTGAGCCTTCCTGCTGGCCCACATACAGTTTTCTTTGGTGGATATCCCATGGTTCTGGCACCTCCAACATCCTGTGGTTTCCAAGTCTCCATTGCAACTCATGCTTTATTTTCGAAGTTTCCTGTAGTGGCCTGTCCAGGACTCTACAGGGATTTCAACTCTGCCACTCATTGCCTGGCCTTGGTGGCTCTTTGGAAGTGTAGTACAAGATTCCATGATAACCTCAACCTCATCTTTCATTCTGTCAAAACTACTACCATGTGGATGATGTTGCCAAACAGAGCCTGCAAGCAGTGGACTGCAGTTTGTAACAGCTTCTGTGTGATGACCCGGGGTAAACACATCCTTGGACTGTTGACCTTGAGGACAAGGGAACCCTTTCAGTAATGATATGAGATCAGGCTCACTCCTTTCAAATGAAATTAACAGTTCCAGCCTTTTTCCAGTGCCCATCTTTGCTACAACATCAAACTTGATTGAACTTTTTATTTTGTTTTTGGGTTTTTTTTTTGGGGGGGGATTCGAGACAGGGTTTCTCTGTGTAGCTTTGGAGCCTTTCCTGGCACTCACTCTGAAGATCAGGCTGACCTTGAACTTACAGAGATCTGCCTGCCTCTGCCTCCCGAGTGCTGGGACTAAACGCATGCACCACCAATGCCCGGCAACTTTTTATTTTGTAATCTGCACATTTTTATGCCTATCGACCTCATTTCTGGTACCAGTTTTATGTATTGGTTTCGTGCTTTGTTGCCTGTGACAATGTACTGAGAAGTCACTAACAGAAGGAGTTTTTGGCACCCAGTTCCAGGGTACACACTATTGTGATGGAAAAGTCATGCCAGAGCTTGAGACAGTTGGACACAAGTTGCAAATGCAGTCAGGGAACACAGGGAAACGAGTGCTAGTGCTCAACTCACTTTCTCCTTTTGGGCCCATAGTTAGGACAAATCTTTGTACCTCAGTTAACCCAATCAAGAAAATCCTTCCCAGACATAGCCAGATACCTGTCGTCAATAGATTCTAAATCCCATCAACTTACTAAGATTAACCAACATACACACACACACACACACACACACACACACACACACACACACACACACACACACTGATGAAGAAAAGGAAGAAAGGAAGGAAGAAAGGAAAGAAGGGGGAGAAATGAAGAAAGAGCATCAGACAATGCAGTCAAAATGCAGCCTCAACATAAAGATCAAATCCAGAAACTAGCTGTTTATCAGCAAAGGTTTATCTGTGATTTGTTGGTGCTGATACTGATTGAAAAAAAAAAAGTGTTCTGAGAAAAATGAGGGCATTGTGCCACCGATATCTAACCCATGCCATCCCATCCTCACATTCCATCTCCAAAAGAAGTGTGGGTATGGTTGGTTTGATGGGCATGGAGTAAACCATAATGAAATTCGTAAAACACTCACAAATGTTTAATGGAGTTTCACTGACAAAAGCA